GTGACTTCGGGACTTGACGACATTTGGATTTAGACTCGACATTGGGATTGAGACATTGGACGAGGGATTATTTGGGACCTATACCGAAGACTTGGTGTTGACGACATTCCCATCTTCCCTTCTTCTTCGCCTGATTCCCTCCTCTTCGTCTATGTATGGTTTGGACCAGGCGCCTTCTTCCTGTGTGTAGGGCCAGGCCCTTCACACCTTGCGATGATGCTGATGTATGTTTGGTCTGCATTGCGAGATTGACTGGTCGAATCATTGGTATATTAGCCTTCCGCTGCGCTATCTTGTACTATGTGAGAGAGGTCGGTTCTTATTTTGGTCTGTACCGTTACGGTATGCAACAGTTTGGTATCGGAGCGGACCTCTCAATCAGAGGATCTGCCCAATAAAGGGGCCAGCTTGCTTGATCGACTGACTGTTGAATGATTGATTGATTGATTGATTGATTGATTGATTGATTGATTGATTGATTTCAAGTAGGGCTTCATCAAATCTCTGCATTTCTTTTTTTTTTTAATCTCTTTTTCGCAACTTCGGATATTAGCATTTCGTTTTTTGTTTCACTTTGGGCATAGCACGTGAAGTAGGGAGGTTGTCATACTCTCAGACTGGATCTATTCTTCTCTGAAAGTGAAACCTCCAGTCTATTTCATGCAATTTTGTTTTTCAAGATCGCATTTTTTTTAAAGTCGAAACCTTGCGAAACTTTGGCTAGATCTCTCTCATAGTACTCCTTTGAAATGCCTTGTTGATAACAGATCGACAGATATACAAAAACAAAAAAGGGGGGGTGATGCTCTTCTTTTATTTTTTATTTTATTCTGTTGATTAGGACCGGGAATGGAAAGTGCAGTTTTGTTACCTTTCTGCGTTTCCCTCCCTCCCAGCCCTTTGTCTGCATTCCCGGTTTGGTAAGTGCCAGCAGTTCCACGTCAGTAGCAGTGCCACATCAGCAACAGAGCCACATCGACAGTGCCACGACAGCAGCAGTACCAACGTCTGCAGTGCCCGGCCACCATGGCGGTTTCAACTTTGGGCATGCCAGACCAATTGGCCAACGAGTCCATTGACGAGTACCGACAACGGTTTCGAGATCTGTTCGCACTGATCGAGGCTGAGGTATGGTGCCAGGCGGTAGCCGAGGCTGCCCGCGTATAGGCTGAAGGAGAGGTAGATGCCGACAAACATCGGCTTCAGGCCGCAGCTGATGCTGATGCCCAGGCCCGCCGCAAGGAGGCCCAGGATGTGCTGCATCGGCACGAAGCCACCAACATCGAAAGCTCAAGTTCTGGCATTTCGAACCATCCGACAACCATGATAACGCAACACCGGAAGAGCAGCACAAGGAGTTCCTCTCCAAACTCGTGATGCGGTTGGTTTACACTTGTAACCACCTCAGTCCGAGTTAGAGAAACAATACAGGAACTGGCGAAACAACACCAGGAACTGGAGAACCTCCGATGGGCAGTGTGAAACGACAAGGATCTGCACGAGGGTGCTACAAGGGCACTTGATTCTCGTGTACAGGACTTGGAGCAAGCAACACCAAGACTAGACGCCGGGGAACCCAACAATGCAGAATCAACCTGCCAGTTGGAGCAACAAGTTGACCATGTAGTCACAATGCTCGGCGACATCAGCACCTTCACCGCACCAGCCAGCATCAGCGAGCAGCTCGGCACCTTTCAGACCGAACTTAGGCAGCTACACCAGCCGCCCGACAACGATCGCAACACCAGTGCATCGAAGCACTACAAGATGTCGACGTTCCGGATCGAGAAGTTTGACGACTATACGCATCAAGACCCAATCGTCTGGTGGCAAGGCTGTACAACAATGCTTGGGATTCATTAGGACCCCGAACATTTGTACATTGCGGCGCTATTCCTTGACGTCAAGGGTGGATGCGAGATCTGGCTCAGCCACATGGCAACCATCCACGACGTTCAGGTCAACAACTTACACAAGAAAGATCTTCTGGGAAGATCTAACGAGAGAATGGAAGAAGCCGTCGGTTCATTGTTGACGACGCCCCGACGCGCGCCATCAACCGCCTCTTCACCATGACTCAAGGCGACACATCGACGAGCGATGGGCTCACGGAATGCCAAACGATCGTGGCAACACCCGATCTCGACTTGTCATTTCCACATCTGCGCCGAGTTCGACGACCGGTCGTGTGCCACCTTAAGCCTCGCACTTGGTGATCGTGAGCAGTACACGACCTTCGCCGAAATCATCGACAAGGCGCGAGAGATCATCAAGACCAACCGGGCTGCTGCACACGAGAAATCAGCGTGGCAGCCAGCCTATGTGGAGAAGTGAAAATTTGGTCCGCGTCCGCAGCCCGTCGCTGCAGTCCAACCAGACAACATTGTGGAAGACCCGGCAGCCACCCCAGCATCACGTGAGGGAGATCAGGTGGCCGTTGTCCAACCGCGAAGCAACAACAACTCCCGTGGAAAAGGGAGCGTGAAAACCGCATCGCCGGCCAAAAACGGACAGCCAGTACCATGGGTCAAGTTTAAGTTCACCGAGGCCGAACACAAGTGGCTAAGTCGGTATGGCTGTTGTTATTGGTGCAACAGCTCCAAGCACAAGACCTCCCAACGCCAAGATAAAGGCAAGGAGGATGTTCGACCGCGAATCAGCTCGGGAAACTGAACTGCACGAGAGGTGAGGCAACTCAACCTCTCACTCCGCCAGATTTTGCCGCCTTGCTAGCGGCCTCCTACATAGCTGGGGAGAATGAGGATGTCGCGAGTCCTCGGTTCACTAACGAGGATTACGCAGTCCACTTGGTCCCACCGTTGGACCAACCACTCCACGTGCAACAATCCACCACATGCACAATTTCACCACCATCGGCAACCGATTCGGCAACTTCGCCGCCAACTATTGTCGGGGATTCGACGTCATGGTCAGGATTTGAAGAACTCGACCCGTTGACGTTCGTGGACTTCCAATGGATGCCCCTTCCCCCGACCGGTCAATTGCCGAAACCGCATTGCAACGTGCTCAAGGCACGATTGCGGATGACTTGTACACTGCAGTACCAGCTCCGTTGATGGACGCCGGAGTAGAGGTTGTTGACCTTCACGACTACGTTGCGAAGATCGACCGCGAGTTCAAGACACAACGGTACGACGACATCGACGCGCCATTGTTGTACATACGCAATCAGATCGGAGAGGCGACCTGCAACGCTTTGATCGATTGCGGAGCTGCTCGCAACTATATCAACCAAGACTTTATGGTACGAGCTGGCCTTAGGCCACGCGTTCGGAGGAAGTCGCAGCCCACGCAAGTCACGTTGGTTGAGGGTCAGACGCACAAGTCAATCGACCGGTGCATTGACTCCGTCACCGTGTACTTCGCCCCGCATGCAAGCATCTGCACCGCTGATCTACGCCGACTATGAGCGAAGTAGACTAGCTACAGAAGCTTCACATCCTACCCCTCCCACCCGGACTTTGGTCCTCCCTCTGACCGACAGCTTCGCCCTCGCAGGTAAGCTCGGTCTTTCAAGGACGGGGGGGTGTGGCATGCTACGCACCACACGGGCCTTGCAGGACCCGACTAGGCAAAAGTAAGGGCCATCCAGGCCTTGTGATGTTTCAGCCTAAAAAAGGGCCCTCTAGGCCTTGAGTCTTTTCAGCCTGAAAAGGAGGGCCAAATCTTAGGCCCTCATCAAGTCGACCTCCCCTGAAACTTAGGTGCCAGACTAGGGATAAGCGCAGACCACTTTTAGGCCCTGATCAAGTCGACCCCGCCTGAAACTTAGGTGCCAGACCAGGGATAAGTGCAGGCGATTCTTAGGGCCGTTTCAAGGCAACCTTTTTTTGGACGTCAGCGCTAGGGTCTAGCACGATGTCGCGCTGTCTACCGCCTACCCCGGCAGCACGGAATTCGCAAAGCCCCGCGCGGTTTGAGGAGCTCCTTCCGAACCCCAAGCCGGACCAGGCCTCACCACGGACAGACCTAACTGCATATAACTCAAAAACAGACCCCACACCTCGCTAGCTCTTTTTCACGCATGCAAATTTCGAAAAACAGGCCTCACTGTTCGGTAGCTCTTTTTCATTCACGTACTCATCCGCATACCTGTCTCTTATACACATCTAGATGTGTATAAGAGACAGCACCACGGACAGACCTAACTGCATATAACTCAAAAACAGACCCCACACCTCGCTAGCTCTTTTTCACGCATGCAAATTTCGAAAAACAGGCCTCACTGTTCGGTAGCTCTTTTTCATTCATGCACTCATCCGCAGACAGACCCGACCGCACATAACTCAAAAACAGACCCCACACCTCGCTAGCTCTTTTTCACGCATGCAAATTTCGAAAAACAGGCCTCATTGTTCGGTAGCTCTTTTTCATTCAYGTACTCRTCCGCAGACAGACCCAACCGCTCAGAACTCAAAAACAGACCCCACACCTCGCTAGCTCTTTTTCATGCATGCACTCATCTGCCGACACCGTCGACCGAAAAACAACTTTGCTGGCCACGCGGGCTTTTACCCACCGACAGTCCAGACTGTACAACTTCCAAAAATAGGCCCCACTGTTTGGTAGCTCTTTTTCATACGAGCACTCGTTCGCAGACAGACCCAACCGCTCTGAACTCACCCTTCTACACACCATTCAAAAACAACCTTCTTGTCGACCAGCTCACACGGGCTCCTTACTGTCGCCCAATTCACTCTCACAGAAATCGGAGACTGGTCTTTCCTTTCAGGAAGTTCTCTCCGGACCATGTACCACACCGTTGTCCACCCGCCTGAGTCTCGATAGTGCGTGACTGTCCGGCTCGCTGTCCGAATAGAGCGGAGGTTCTCCTCGGACCTCGGCACGCTCGGGCGGTCAGCCACCGGAACGTCTGCAGGATCACAAAGCCCCAAGCTCGGGGCAGGCTGAAGCTTCCCTCTTCCCTCTCTCTTTTTGCCCCCTTTTCTCTCTTTGTCTCCCTCTCTCCCTCACTCTCTCGCTGTCTCTCTCTCTCTCTCTCTCTCTCTCTTCAGTTTTGGAGCCAGATAGCCAAACACCTTTTCGATACCAACGACCGACGAAGGAAAAGGCCGAGTCACGGCCTGAGAGCCAATCCTCTCGCCGAAACCCTTCGCTGGCACGGGCGCTTAGCGCCTAAGTGCGAATTTGCGATCCCTCACCGGACTGTTACCGAGTTCTCACGCGGTTGCCAGCAGCGAACTCCCCGAGCACTGATGTGTGATCCCTCACCGAACTGATACCGAGCTCCCTCGCAGTTGTCAGCAGCGAGCTCCCTGCGCACTGATTTGTGATCCCTCACCGAACTGTTGCCAGCAGCGAGCTCCCCGCGCGCTGATTTGCGATCCCCCACCGAACTGATACCGAGCTCCCTCGCAGCTGATTTGTGATCCCTCACAGAACTGACACCGAGCTCCCTCGCAGATGAGTTGTGATCCCTCACCGAACTGACACCGAGCTCCCTCGCAGCTGCCAGCAGCGAGCTCCCCGCGCGCTGATTTGCGAGTCCCCACCGAACTGATAATGAGCTCCCTCGCGGTTGCAGGCAGCGAACTCCCCGAGTGCTGAACGCCCTCGATGTGTCGGTTGTGACCTCCCTTGCTCGACCTTTTGACCATTTGCCGACTGCACTTGCAGCTCCCGTACGCGACCTAGTGATCCTTCTTCGTACACTCTTGCTCGTCGGCCTCGACCTCGCGGCCTCGTGATCCCTCTTCGGGCGCTTTCACTCGTCCGGTGGCAGCTTGGTATCGAGCACGACAGACGACCCCCAGTGCGCTCCGAGCATTCCCCGTGAGTGCTCCTGCGAGCGCCTCTCCAACCTGCCTCTTGCGCCCTGCTTGCCCAGTGTCTGACGAGATGCTGCCCCCAAGTCCCTATGCCTCGTACTCCGCCAAGGAAACCTCCGAGGGTAGCGATCCCCCGCACTGGCCCTCGGTCTCGGACCTTGCCATAGCCACTCCAAGCGCCAACCCGTGCACGACGTACGTGCTCCACACTCGAGCGCAAAAAAAAAAAAACCTTCCCGTTCTGGTCGATCTCTCTCTCTTTTATACATTTCCTTCCCCCCCCCTTCTCGCATCGCGAGCCCGGCTTAATCTTTCGGGCTACCCGAGTTTGAGGTTTTCGAGAGACTTTTATTTTCCCACCATCCCCCCTTTCTGCTGGCCCTGCTTCTTGCCCCCCAATCAGATCCTTCTTTTTGCTAACCCTAGGATCAGATCCACCTTCGCCCGTACAATTTTCCTCTCTTTTTCCCGCTTCCGCTGCTCTTGTCCCCCTTTCCCGCCTGCTTCTTTCGTCCCAACAGCGTCCTCCCCTTCACCGACTCTGCTCGCACAGTTCTCTTCTCCTTCTCCCGCCCCCGCTTTTCTCCTTCGCCTACGTCATCCCCACTGCAAAAATTCAAAGTAGTCTGCAGATACTGAGAAGACACCAATCTCTCTCTCTCTCTCTCTTTCTCTCTCTCTCTCTCTTGTAGTCTGCAGATACTGAGAAGTCAGGTAGCGAGAAGGTGAGGGAGAGATGGTGGACTTAGAAGAGGAAGAAGAACTCTCTCTCTCTCTCTCAGTGTCAGTCCAGTACTAACCTGTGAAGGTGGCGCCTTGTTGCAGGTACATCGAAGACGCAGCTGGAGATATGGCGCCACTATAAAGTCTCCCTGGCCTCCGCCAAC